TCATATATAATCTGAACTAAAGGTTAAATAATTCGACTAACTTGAATTTATGTGTATTATGGTTAGTACGCGACTCACTGTGTCCCGCGCCGAACTTGCAGAGTGGACCTCATATAGAAAGGACTAGTTAGTAACCGTCTATTTATTACGCCAGTCGTTGGATAACGAATAAATATAAACTATTAATAACCAACTGTGGAAAAATGGAATCTACCGGCTGGTGGTCGTTTACTGACACGAGATTGAGGTCAGTTTGAAGGAGAAATCGCGATGGATCTACACATAGCAATCCGACATCTCGCGCTCTACTGAAATATAGATTTTATACCATACACATGTCCTATGTACCTTATACTCTTGTATATATCTCAAACCAAGATCCTTCGCTCGGCCACCCTTTTTATTTTTTTTATTTATTAAAATTACTTGTTATTTATTAAAATTACCTATTTATTTATTAAAATTACTTGTTAAAAGATACATATTTGTATTAAGTAAGGTGGGGCCGTAAATTAGTTGACGGATTTTTATCATTAATTTCTACTACTTTTTCTGCCCCGTTATCTGAACAGATGTAGAAGAATGAACGCCATCAACTTGTGCAGCGGCTTCTTTCAAATTGTCAAGAGGCTTTTGCCTCACCTTATGCAGCTTGGAGAAGAGATTTCATAAGAATAAAGAAGCTATTAATTAGCTATTGATTTCCGCAATGCTAAAAACGCAATAGACGTTTGTTAGTAAAATATCCTACAAAAATTCTCAGTTTTCAGATTGAAACGTGTGTTCATGATCTAAAAAAACCGTGCAGACATGCTTACTCAACAGAAACATAAGCCCCTATAGGTTTTTATTGCTTTCCGCATCCTAGATAACAGCAATGGTAAGGAGCGTAGTCATTTGGAAATATCGTACGCCCATAACCGTAGGAGAAATACTGAGCTAGTCCAACAAAGCGTTCTATGCTAATTGTGAATCTGATTTAACAGACCCCGAATAGCGCCGCAGACTCAGTTCCACGTCTCGTCCACGGAGATAAAAACACAGAAATGCATGTATTTGCTTTGTATCGTCAAAAATCGAATTTTGTATTATAATTACATGCGTGCGCAAGCAAACTATAGAAAGCAGTATCCAACACGTTTGTTCAATCAATAGTAAGTTCTGAAAAAGCTCAATAGCTGGTCTACGTTTTCGAAAATAGCGCCATTGATACGCTCTGTAGGATTAATTTCAACTTTAACAACAACTTGTGCTTCGGACAATTGCATAACGTGTTATTTCGGACTGGTAGGGAACCCTACCCATGCCGATTGATTTATGCCACACTCTAATACCGTTAGATGCATAAAGTGAATTTTAACCTAAGAGGTTATTTAAAAATGCTACATCTACGTATAGATCTTTTCGGGACTCCCTCAAGAGCGTCGATGAAGTTCTTTTTGCGTACAGGTATTACACCTCTGAGCAGTACAGGTACAAGATTGTTGTAAAGTGTGACATGGAAGACAGCTTCAGATAATGAAGCAACGGAACTCTGTGTCACATCCCGAAAGACCCTGAAGTTCTGAATCAACTGAACTCTTCATTACGAACATATTCGAAATTATGCTCACGAGAAGCAACAAGATGTATCACGTCGTGTTTTTTGTAACAGAATGTATTACGTGTCTGCTATTACAATTTTCATCTAATTATAATTACTACGGTTCATAGTATTTGCAACACCTAAGAATTTGTTGTATGCCAATATCTGGCATTTCGAATTTGCGTATAAAGCAAGTCCACAAGCGAACAGAAGACAGTAAAAAATGATCGAAAACCATCTTGCTTGGTTGGTTCGCCCCTCGTTCTAATAAACATTTGTTAAACCAACAGCAATTAACACGGCGCCATATTTAATCTTGCCTTGAATTTATGTTTTCCTGTCATAGACTTTCCCTTCATTTGTTTGTACACGAGCAAACAACAACAACCATCGTTGATCGGCGGTGCTGCTACGAGTAATGTTGTTGAACATAAAAATTCTAGTTGCGGCTGTCGCAGTTGGCGGCAAAAGCATGCTAGTGGACACTTCCCTGCTCGATCGGACGCGCAAAGCGTCGCGACGTTTCCTTCGGATTTTTGCTTAATTCCCTGCGTCTACTGCTGTCGGGATATAATAGTGATAGTCAATTTTGTTAACGTTTATCTTTTTCAATTCAGAACTGACTGAGGAAATGGCAACACAAGTTGCGGAGGTCTTGTTGCATCAGTAGCAACCGGCATAGAAGCTTGTGGTCGTGCAAATTATCAAAAAAATCCCAAAATATTCCTAATAACGAATATTATTGTCGCCTGCGGTAACTATGGCGGCGTTCGCCTAAAGTAGTATTTTCTACTCTAGTAGATCTTTAAAATAGGTACACAGTATTAATGAAGTAAAGAGAGAAGGATTAAAATTTGTAACTGCATTAGGCCTGTCCGCGTACTACACTATATTCGCTGAGAACTTTTGCGAGATGTACTGTGCATATTTATAGCATACAAGCGTCCTGCCATCGAGCGCAATCTGAAGCACGGCGCAGAAGACGTAAGCAATGTACCGAAAAAAAGCTCTTCTAAGTGCAACCTGAAAAAAACCTAGAAAAATAAGCAATACTTTTATCAACTTCTGTAAATATTGGTAGCCTTTTTCGGATCTTCTTGACTAACTACAAGCATTGTGCATGATTTGATATACAATGGATTATAATAAGTTAATTATCTTCCGCTCATGGATTACTTACGTTTCTATGGTTTACCGTAATTATTTGAAAATCACACAGCGTAATGAGATTCAATTATTGAATGAAGCCATGCTCTATTGAGCTTAATAAGTAAGTGCATAAAATATAAAGAATAGTAAAGTGGTACAGGTTTTTAAATACTATACTTACTATATTTATAAGTCAATGTGTCAGTTTTACCATTTAGGATTATATTTAAGGTATATATTTTGCGTTTAGATTCGTTGAATTTGTTTTCCGGTGTTTCATGAAAGACATTTGAATTATCTCACAGATATCAAACCATTAAAAACATTTTTTTAAATACTGAGTTCTGTGCTCGTAGACTACTTCATCACTAGGTCTCTGTGACTTCCGTGTTTCGAGCTCGTGGATAGCGTATTTGTTCGCTAATCTTGGATACGTTGTGGCCTAGGTTCTAACTCGGGCTTCGTTTTGTGATGGCTAGGAGCCAGCTGTCTGATGGATCGCCTAACAGCGATACTGGGCGTACAACTTCAAATATAGAGGTCTCAGTGGCTTAATAAGGCAGAATGCTACAGACAAAGGTATATGACGGTCCTTCACTAACAGCCGTTGGTAACACGTGCTCACATTAATACTGACAGAGATATTACCATATAAGATCAGTAGTTGCCTAAGTAAATTCAAGTATATCAAATGGTTTTATAATAATAATAAAAATTTATGTGACTAAATGTACTGTAAATATCTATGCTTCATGATACCCACGTAGACGCAGCACATATTCGAACCAAGCCAGAATTAAAGCTATGTACCACTGAGGAACGACGAAAAACCAGTGCATAAATGGACTCCTTTGACAATAATGCTCCACTTCTGTGTTTTCACGCGGCTTCTGCCGATCGAGGCAGTTTTCGTTCTTTGCCCACTTCGCCACTGGCATGCCTATAGCATGTTTTGAATAGTGGGGGCTCACCCGTGCCTTGCGTCTATGGGTCAAGTCATGTCAATGTCTGCTGCCGGTCTGTGCCTTTTTCATCTGTTTATTTGTTTGTGTTTACGTTTCAGTCCGTGCTGTTGATTCAGTTTTATGCCAGCACACTCTTTTGTCGACGACTCCGACGAGACTGCCTCCTGAACTGCCTGATCCTCACCCTCCACTTGGTGGGACAGCACGCCCATGACGGGCAATGGAACATACTCCCTCTGTCTATAGCGTGACGACACTTTTTCCAGCTCGTTCAACTATCCCTTTTCATAGACATACATACACAAACCCGCATGTACAGACGCCCTTCAGCCAGAGCCTTCTTTCCAGCACCTCGTGACCCCTATTCGTACCGCGCTTCCTTGCCCATTTTCTCTAACGTACCCCCCGAGCTTTTATAACTTTGGCACGCACTCTGCTGTGTAAGTCAACAATGTGCTAAGGACTGGCAGCCGCCAGAGCCACTGTCCCCGCAGCTTCAGCAGGGAGCTGACTGACTCTATGGGGAATCTGCTTAGAAATCCTCCAAGTTCGTACGATGCCCTTATCACCACAAGCTCTCGGAGTTGCCCAGGTCATCCTGCGCAGGTTGCCCTCCACTCCCTAACCGTTTCGAACGCTTTCCCACGCTTTCATGTGCCCCCGAAGAGCTTTCAAGGGTCTTTGCAACTCTGAGTTAATAGTTTCCGAGTCGGACTTCGAGGCTACGGATGCTGCTTCTACTGTTATTACAGCCAGCGCCATTGGCGTCGCCGTTGTTTCCGTTTCTGCTTCTGCTACAAAGAGACAAAAACCTGATCGACGCACTCAGGTGGAAAGTGCGAGAAGGAAAACGGCGACGGGCACCGAGCAACGACAAAACCTGCCACGAATCGTAGAAAAGGTGAAAAGTCTCACTGGCCTTTACGGGAAGAGTCGGATAACAATTACTTATGTTCGTATTTTGCTGATACAGAAATCAAGATGCAACATTGACAGCGAAATCGTGGATCTGGCAGAAATTACTTGAGAATCTACAGTTGCCTATAGTGTTAGACAGTAGCACAGTACTAGGAACAGATGTTTGTTCGTCACCGTAGTGCAGCAGTTATTAAAGATGGTCGGCCCTCTCGAACTTTGCCTCCCGACCATGAGTTAACGTATCGAATGGGAAACGCTTTCATATTTTGCTATAACACTGTGTCTCAGAGTAAATGAGGTGAATCATATTCACAAGTACGAAAGACATACAAGCCTAGCGCCCCTTACAGAAATTTCGATTCTTTTGTTTTTACTACTTACAGCACATGCCAGCAAATCTGTATGTAGAACTCCAACGAATAACACATCACAGCCTGGTACAAGGTACGCTATTTGTAAGTAGCATTTTACTTTAAGACCTTTACGTGATATGATACATGTTCACCAGGCAACTTCAGAGAAGTTCGCTGACGTTCGATAGTGGGTCTTGCAATAGCAGGTGCTCGTGGTCACACACCACTCAATATTGCGTTGCTTCCTTGCACTAACTTTCATTTTGTCCTACAACCGCAAGTATTTCTTATTTTAAGCAAATCGTTCAAGTGTCACTTAAGTACTGTTCACGACGAGTTTTGCTCTGTTATCAAAACGGCATTATTTCGTCATCTATGATGAAAGCCATTGCATTATGCTAAAGTTCTTCTAACAGAAATGTCTGCAGGTAATTTTCAATTCATCATATCAACCTTTCAATATAAGTAACTGTAGCTAAAAATGTCTGCAGAACAGTTCAACAGGATAACTGAGCTCTAAATATACCATGATTGAGTTATGAAATTCTAATGTTTTTGCAACGTCATCAAAACGCGATGTTTACCGCGTTTTTCGACGGTGTTTTCCTTTACAGATAGGAACTGCTTTATTTTTAGAGGACAAACATTTGGGCGTATATTTAGAACAGCAAGCTTCTCCTGCAGCAGTACCACATACCAAAATAGTACTATTACTGATAGTTATATATGGATATCTGCGTCGATATTATAGCGAAATTCTTTCGGATTAATCTAAAATTAACATCACGAAAAATAGCCTTTACTCTAGTCTTTCGGCCACGAGCAATCTATTACTTCAGAAAAGTTTCAACACAGACAAACAAATGGAATCATTTTTAGTTATTAGTCTCTTGTGGTGCATGTTGATTTTTTTTTTTTTGATTGAAGATCGCTTACGGCTATAACTATAAAACTATCACGCGAACAAGGGCCGAGTTGCAATCTTATTCATTATAATTCATTTTCTATACGTCTTAGAACCCGTTGCGTTTCCCTGTGTTGTTTTAATAGCCATTCTACTACATCGATACGAGCCAACTTCAGTCTAGGGTAACAAATGGTGACCAGAGTGAGTAACATGTAACTTACGCATCTTAATATAAGATATCTGTAGCAAGAGCATTGACTTCAAAACAGAAATCTAGCAAAATATTTCAAAACGCTTGCAGTCCGAGGGTTCCAACTTCGCTAACTATTATGAACCCTCAGTCATATGATAACTTTTGTGAATTTACGGTAATTCTTACCTGATATATTTCGCTATTCTCAGACTTCAATCGCAAGCTATGCTTCAATTAGTGAGCAATAAGAAGAAACGTTAGATCCACAATATAGAGTCAATTAGTATGTTCAGTAGTATTTAGTAGTATTCAGTATAGTGTTCAGTAGTATAAGAAATAAAGATGGTGAACACATCCTATATAAGATTTTAGCACAGTAATGTCCTAATTAATGAGTGCTCTATTAATGAAGATAAATAATTAGCATATTTCTACTGTAAGGTTTGCGGTATGTAGGTTTAATCTGCAAAGCAGACTATGTGCTAAGTGCGTTTAATAATTTTCAATTACATCTCAATTTTACGAGTTATTTCCTACCTTCTAGATTAAGTTGTACTTTAACTAGAATATCTACTATATTGAAACTGAATCACTGGTAGGACTATCGCGAGGGAAGTGGGGGTGACGGAATATTGTGAACACATACTTTAGCCCAATAAATTTGCGCCCCAGTAAGCTCGCATCGTCAGTGACTGTAGAAGGCAGGCCAAAAACATCTGTGAAATAATAGACCGAGCTGCAAGTTCTTCTAAGCTAAAATGTTTGAATGCTTCTAAATAAATATTTTTCGCCCTAAGAACTATCGTTGTCGATCAGACCCCTTATTAAACCCCCTTTACCCTGATCCCCTTAGGTATAATAATATTTTCTCTTCTATTTAAACTACTGTGCCACAACGGAATTTTACTAATAAAAACATACGGAGAAATATGATATACTGAGTAGAGAATTAGACAAAAAAATAGACAGCAGATCTCTCCTAAGCGTCAGGGCGCCACAGAAGATCAAGGCGACCACGTTCAGTCCCTATATTAGCACAGTGCCGGCTGCAAAGGTTACCATTACAATCGACATCCCAAAAAGAAAAGGGATTGAAACAGCACCACTCGTATCATGAAGGTATCGTTGGATTCAAAGTTTCACTTCTTTTTTCTCTCCTTGTTGGTCTAAGTTCACTTGCATGTGTATTCTCTTTTGGGTATACAACGTATTCAGTTGCGGACTGTTGCAAACATTTTTTCGAGGATTAATTCAGTACAAAAAATATAGAACAAACATTTGTAAGCATTTAGCTTCGCTGCCCAGAATATAGAACATTGTTAGCGCTGCGTACCTCTACCTAGTATCAACTCAAGCTGAATTTACTGGCCGCAAAATATTCTAGTAGTGAAATTAAATTTGTTGTCACATAGCAATGAATCCTCATTTGGTAGACCAGAAAAAGTCGCATGATGCAAGCGATGAGATCTACGTTTTGCATGGCTCCGACGCATACTCAATGATGAGAAATGGCCCTTCACAAAAAGGATTTTGCCGTGACAACAAAAAAGTACAAAACTGTTCTGTATGGATAATCATTGCAAAAACCGTAATCCTATAGTACAGCAATTTGCTTTGTCTATTACAGAACTTCGTCGCCATTTGCGCTCTTGTGTATACCGTTGCCTTGCATGCCCCAGAGGCATCCGCCATTCATTCTATTGGAGGTCACTCCAACTCGTTCCACAAGCAAGACGTAAGTTTGTCCAAGAGTTTGTCAATAATGCATGATATCGTACCTTCATGCTATGCTATAGACGCATGTTCTCGACGTCAGTATTTGTCTTTCTCGCATTGCAGTAAGAGTGTTGGTAGAGAAATATATCTCAAAATCGAAACAGTTATATGTCAAATGTTTAACGAATTTCCAGTTATTTATGGCTATATAATACGTTTGCAGGACTACGGAAACTATGCTTTCGCTTACAACATAAAAAATGGACATGGCGCCGTAAACGGACGTAAGGAATCCGGAGGCCACGGAGGTACCGTCGGATCTTACTATATTGGTGATATTGACGGACGTCAAAGGAGTGTCCATTACATAGCTGACAAGCTTGGATTTCGCGCGCAGGTCAAGACTAACGAGCCCGGAACTAAGGTAAAGGCCTAATTTCATTACGCATCCAGCCAATAGTAGCTAGGTCTTTTATGAGGTTGTTTTTCGTTCTTCGTTGCGAGGCTTCATTATACCTTTACTTCTTAGCATTGGCTGATACAGGCACCACCCATATTACATTTTGTCATTAATTATGAAGCTGGGCGTTTTTTCCACCTATCGTTGATTTCCAGACCTCCTATGCCGCCGCCGCCACTGTCTATTCTAGTGCTACCGGCAAAGCTGCTCCGGATGTAGGACTCTACGGGGCAGCCCACGAAGGCGCCGAATACTGAGCTCGCTTCCACGACTAAAGAGAAAAAAAATACTCCTAAATTCGGATAGACGCCCTGCATTCACCAAGATGCAATTGAATTCATCAGATATAATTCGCTAAAAGTTTAATCAGTTTTTCACTATGGTACATTGCTGCCGTTTTTGAGAGAGAAAAGAATGAGTCGAATCTGAACGAATTTTCAAAGTTGTACAGCCCGCGATTGTACTCTCCCCACCTCTCCCCCCTATAAAAGGCGGCATCCTGTATAAATACAGTAGCTGAAGCGTTTACCAACAGATAAGGCTGATGAGTGAACCATCTGTGATACCTTCGCCGTTGCTCTTTTGCCAAATGGCGTTCATGCAATACCACACAATGGAAAGTCTTGCTGACTCTTTGACACTTAAACTTTTCTCATCGTTGGAGCTCCGACCTGTTCGCCATCTTTTCTTGACCTGCTATGTTACTTTAGTTATATATTCTATGATGCACTAGATTTTCCAGAACTAGATATTTATTTTTCAAACTAAGGTCTATTCGATTGAAAATAAATGTTTATTCTGTACGGTAAAAACTACCGTTGTGGTTTGTCACTCCTTTAACAGAAAAATTGAACATGATAATAATAATATATATTGGGACAGAATAGTTATCGTTACTTGGCCTCGAACAGCGTTAGACAAGCACAATGTTATACTTTTCGTCATAACAGATAAAATGACGTTTATGATTATTATGTAGATCTCGAAAAACTCACCAGTTGTTTTACTTGCCTCACAAACTCTTAACTGCTCTTCAGAAAACTACCTCGTTATCCTCCACATTTCCTTCGAGGGTTTACATTAGAACCTATGGAAAGTCCTTTGCACTTCTCAACATCAAAGTGATTCTTTACATAGACGCCGCTTTCATTGCAGAACAAAAACACCAGTGTCTATGCATGTGTGAAAAATGGCTAGGAGCTAAACTTTTTGATTACTCACGGAAAAATGCGTACGAACAAGAACATCTGTGTGAACAAAAATGAGTTGTGTATCTAAAATCTAAAACTATTTTTTTTTCGAATCATCTGAACTTATCTATGTTTTACAAATTATTTAAAAGCAGTATGACCTGATGCTGATATTATCATGTTTTGCCGCTCAAACAACATGGTACAAATCGTCCACGTTAGAAAAATCTCGACGACATTCACATTTAAACAAGAACTTAAAATGAGTTCATAGAAACGTGAACAATGTTTACCGTGAGTGACCCTTTAAAACAAATACAAATATGAAACCACGCCAAATTCTTATGGTGTGAAATTTTTAATAGTACTAGTAGAATAGGGAATAGCACAAATTTACAAAGACAGCTATCGTATTATATACTTTATAAAACTTTAAACGTGAACTATTTTCACTGATGTAAAGAGAATAAAATAACACAACCTATTGATTATCACCAGCGCCAAAACCTAACTATCTTGATTATTACTTTAAATACAAATTTCAGAAGAAGAAGCCTGAGCAAAAAGGCTTCTAAGTTAGAGGTTATCGTGACAACAGGAAGTGGGAAAATATCTAGATAATTATGTGTTTCAATAGAGCGCTGTTACGAAGATATAAAAACTATAATAATTAAGCATTGTACCGAAAAAGGGTTTAATATCGTCTAGTATCATCTCTGTCTTTATTTTGATGTAAAGCGTCTAAGCGGACTCCCGTGTAGGACGGCGAAAAAAATTAACTAGCGAAGAAACACCGAGGGAATTTTACTGACTTCTACAGTTTTTGCAATATATGATTATCTCTATACCCTTTCCTTTCAAACAATACTTCATTAACTGTAGTTTCGATTGTTTCCAAATAAATATAAGAACTGAATTTTTTTCGGTGGACATAATAGGCTTAGGGCTTACACTTTCTTATATACAATAATAGTTTCAGCACAGTGGCGCGTCCAATTCTGATTACTCATTGACTAAAAATAATACGAAAGAATTAAAATCGATCGCCCCAGCAAGAACTGCCCTTGTTAAGTGACTGCTAGTTTATGACAAGACCAATGCAATATGCGCATATCTTGTAACGAAAAAATAAATCAGTAAACACCGAGTGGCGCTTCTTGTTGAGGTTGAAAGGCAAGGCCCGTTTTAGCTTAGCTTAAAATATTAACGTAGCTTTGCTATTACAGAAAACCACTGATTGCACTGTTGGTTAGCGCAGTTTTATAAAAAAAAAAATAAATAATCAGATAAAACAAAAAGTTTCACATGTTTTTTTAACGTCTACCCCTTCCCTCTGTTTGAGAAAAGAATTAAATTATCAGGGACCAGCACTAAAAACAGCTTGCAATGCTCGGATGACTACCCACAAGGACGTTCTTTTCGTAACGAACATTTTGCTCGGCAGCGTTTCGCTTAAAAAACGTCTGGAATTGTGTAAGCGTGTCGGAACGGTACGAATCCAGTAGCAGCAGCGAGAAATGCAGGAAACTAGAAAAACATTGGCAAAAATATGTCAAACTGAATAGGCTGTTGATAACGTAAATATGTAAAAAAAAAAAAAAAAAAGCAATAACTGTGAGTGGTAACACATTCGATACAGTATGGATTGGATCGATGTTGCAGTGATGTAGGATAATGCAGCGAAGCCACAGGTAGGCCTTTAAGATAAATGTTACGGAAAAAATTCGAAGTAAGACTATGTGCTTGTGTGTGATTTACGTATGATTTTGGTATAATTGTAAATATTAAATTAAGTCCAGAGTTCTTGGGTGTTCATTCCAATAGCTTTTAGTGTGTCGCCACCATTTTGGCGTTTCAAACAAGTCAAAAGAAACTTAATAAGTTTCCTTGACATCTTCCCCATATCACACACATTTGTAGTGGTAATTAAGCCAGTGGAATCTTTTTTGGCTTCACTATTAAGCCTGATTTACAGTTCATTAACATACCAATTAGAGCAATGTAAATGAACTCTTTCGCTAGTAATGTTACAACGATGCAAAGAACAACACTAGTTTTAAAAAATAGCAAAAGTCTTCTAAAAAGGTATAATATTCGGGGAATAAAAGGGATTCGCAGTGTTTTTACCTCTGGAAAACATCTACATTAGAATCGTACGTATAAATATGCATGATCTTCTTGAACCGCCTGAATTAATTAATTAATAATGAAAAAAAAAAGCATTAGCATCAATCCAGAATTAATTTCGATGTTACGAAAATTTCAATCTCTATCAAAATCAATTCTCTATGTTCTTTGCATATGTTATAAATCAGTAGTTTATTCATAAGATCAATAGCTAGTTTATAAATAGCTAATTAATTTGATATATAGTTTAAGCAACAGTAGCGTTACACGGCGCAACACACCAAATAGCTTCTGTTAAATCATCTCAAGCGCGGATTTAGCATATGCGCTGCTAAAAACCGAAGGCTGAGTTGCAAATCTTACCATTGTCGGTATCCGATTGTGACTGACTTGCACCTTGTACATTGCAACACTCAGTGATTGTGGAGGTGAGGGCTGTGACGACTGATCCCTCCATACAGCCCCCAGACAGTCAGACAGACGGACTAACACGACCGCCCTCCCTATACTCGTCGGCTGTAGATCATCACCGCTACACTCCTGCAGAAAGTCCCGTACACCTCGTACGGATGCTGCTACAACTGCCGCTGCAAAAGAGCTTCCGTGCTATGACGACGACGGCGGCGTCAAGCAATCGCTACTGCTTCGCGTCGTTCGACGCCATTCGTTACGTTGTTCCTTCGATGAATGATAAAGGAACTTAGAGGTAAATCTAGTGTGAGAAGGCTCGTCTGGTTGTGTCGACCGACGAAGGATGAGATGAGAGTCAAAAGAGGAATCTCAGAGAGAGAAAGCTGTTTTACTCTTGACGTCAGCCCCTGTTAGGAGTCCTGAGTCGAGTTGCTGAAGCTTCTTTTGCTGTAACTCGTGCGGCACAAAGAAGTGTGCAAGTATTCGCTGCCTTCTGGCACTTGTCCTGCAGGCACTAACTGAATGTCCGTGGATGCAATCGCAGACGAGCTGCCGATCCCAGCGTCCTCAGACACGCGAGTTCTTCGACAAGGGCTAAAGGCTGAGCGCCATTAGCTGAAACGGAAACAGTGAAAGAAATTTACATAGTCTGTTTTCAGATTCGCCAATTTAGCTCATATATAGCGTAGTAGTCACCTGTATAAGACACCACCAATTTTTCGCGTCGTGTAACAAATTCGAAGGTGTTTGTATAAGACAGCACGGAGAAACAAGTATTTTAAAGTATACGCGCAAAGTTTACAAGTTAATGTAACACTGCTAAGTCATGGCTTCCAAGCCGGAAGACGGTTGTACTCTACTCAATCAGGGTAGTTAAAATTCGGGCCTTGTAGGCCCGCACAGAACCTCACATTTAGCCAAGAGAAAGCCCAGGAGTCACTCACGAAAGGAAGAGAAAAAGTGAACGAAAAAAGGATTTCCGGCAATGATGACTTTTTCGTCGCGTTCCGTCCCTCAAGTGTTGCCGCTGCTTCACACCAAGCTAAGCCCGATGACTCTTGAGAGGCCAGACCGTCCCGGAGACCAGGAAGGCAGGAAAACCAGGAGATGCAAGAAAGACTCGAGGGTGGAGCCGAGGCGGCCAGACAAGGGGACGAACACTTTGCTGAAGATCACTGGGTTGAAGATTGTGCCGGTTGGCTTACCCTCCCACTATGAGTCGGCTAGGTGTCTACTAGCAGACAAAGCGGCTACGCGCGTCTGCGTCCATCAAAGGCTTCTGAACGCTGATGCCTTCTAACATCTCTTAAAACACATCTTGAAAACACGCCCAATCCATACTGGCTGACAGCCATTCAGTCTCGTAGCGTTTTGTCGGTCCTGTTGCCACTACAATACGATTTTCGAAAAACACTATAATGCAAAGACTGTTGTAATGGAATAGATACGAACTAGACCTCTATGTTTTAAGAAGGTACTTGTCGTTGTCGAGACAGTATTCATAATAATAATAGTCTAATAATGTGCTGGCCTTACGGAGGTTCCAACCTTGTGACGCTAGTTAGAAGAAGTTGGTAAGCGCAATAGTGTTCTCTATCTAACATATCCTTCAAGAGATTATTTTAAAAATAGATGATCTATTATCTTTGATCTCCTGTATCAACATCAGTTCCAGAGTTACACTCATAGAATTAACCTAAGACGGAAAGAGTTTACGGATCTTCATTTCGAGAAAAATACACCCCAAGGATTATTTGCACGTCGTTCCTTATGTAGGCAGATGAGCAAGACCTACTGATCGTTTTTTGTCACCCATAAACTAAATTTCTTCCCAGCCATTTTTAGATCACTGATTAAGTTAAATATACTGCTCGTATCAAACTTTTTTTACACATTTGTACCTTTATTTTTATTATAAAGGTTTGAAATGTTGCATTAAATTTAAATAATAGACGAATATTTTATATTCAAATTAAAAAGCAACTTTTATCTGACGTGAATTGAGTGTGCTTGAATCATAGTATATTTAATATCAATGAAGCCACGTTGTAGGACCATAAATTGTATTTGATTTAACAAATGGTTTGAAAAAACTTACAGACCTCGCGGCACTATCAATGCTGTGATTTATGCTGTAATTATTGTTATTGTGTTGCAATGTTAATAGTGATTACTTCTAGCACCCTTCAGAGAAGTGTAGCCTTTTGTTGATGTTCGCGATTTCAAAAAACTGTCTAAAAGTCACCGCTATAGATTTTTTTCACAACAATTCTGCTTGAATCATTTATAAAACCGGCGAAATATAAGCACTTTATTTAGACAAGAAAAACATTTAGTAATTTAGACACCCAACTTGTGTATTTAAAGGCGATATGTCTCCAATCATTATTATCGTAACGTTATGTATGATTAAGATGAGTCAACTAGAATCCTGATCATGTGATCGTTCTAGTATGAGTGACTTGACAGGCACGAGATGAAAAATTTTGGTCCGTTGTATATCTTACAGTCAAGCCTATCGTTACAAGACTATATTCTATTTAAAGACTTGTGAAGCACTTAAATCATTGCACGAAGTATGTCCACCGTAAGTTCGACCGCCTGACTCATCGAATCCAGCGTTTTGATACTAATATATCTCACTTCTTACCACTTTGTACTCGAACAAATTCTTTACACGGCAGAAGTAATACCCCGTTCATGAATAAACCCCGTCCCACCAGAGTTCATTCGTAGCCACGCGTCGCCTTCAGAAAATGGTACATGCGTGCATGTACATATTGCAATGGGTCAATTATTATGATCTATGAATACACATCTATGGCTGTATAAGCTCAGATCGAGTCACTGTGAAGCGCTCGTTCCAACCAGCCTACGACAAAGCTACGTGAGTTTGCTTCAATATACGTGCATCAACTAGATTCTTAACGTCGACTAGAGAGAGTGCTGACTTCCATAGTAAATTAGCTCCTTTAGCTAACGGATTTTACGAGCAGATTCACAATTCAGAAAGCCTTTGCCTACAAAATAATACTTCTGTCTCTATTTAATCTTCATTTTCTAATTATTCCTTTCGAATATTAAAAGGAACTGCCTCACAGTGCATTCCTCGGTTCAAGCAACAGCATAGTAGAATTGAAACTCAGTTCAAACTAATACAATGAAAAACCTATATGGTACACTATGGATATTTTTTTAAATATTTCGTACAACGCGAAGCGCATTGCCGTGTGGACAGAGCTCAAAGATAACATGTTATTATGTGGGATATCTGTGTAACTGTGATATATGGTATATATAAAGTTTATTTTCAAACAAAAATGGGCGGTTTTTTTAATCAATACTATTTGTAGCTGTGTCTTTTTGAAAAAAGGCCATTCATACAAGAATGTCTTACTGTATATTAAAAATAAGCGTGTAAATAACTTTTACACTAATAGTTTTATTCACGCATTATTTTGCAATATTTTGCGAACTTACAAAAAAAAAAGTTAACGGGGGTGTTCCCTCCATGTAGAACGTTTCCACGATCTATCGTGTCTGCCCTCGAAAGCGTTCGCGAGTAGCCCACCCTTCACCACTCTGTCGCTCGGTGTCTTCCTGTCTCCGACTCAATTCTTTTTCCCTACTCGGAAGTTCAGGGCGAGCCGACACAGTTATGTGAAGGAGGCAGAAGGATGGCACTTAAACTCATTCCGCTGATTCGAATCGTTGTCGTTGGCGTTAGTGATACCGCTCGGAACGATGTCGGCGGTGACGGTGGTGGCAACGGTGTCGTCTGCACCGGATGACTTTCTCGCGTCCTCTTTCTCGTTTTCCTCTTCCCTCTCGTCCTCTACTGCACACACAAACACAGTTTCTCGATCGCTTGAGTTCCCGCTCATTCGGGACTATGTTTTTCTCTCTCTCATTTTCACCGCTCTCACACAAGACATCAGTTTACACTAGATATGCTAGTCCTTAGCTCTCTCGACCTCTCTGAGTCCCCCAACCTCACACTCGCCGCCTCATTAAACATAACGAACTTCTTCCCGCGTCAACTGTTGTGCGCCCTCCGTCCTCACAAACGGGCCCTCCGTGACTACCTCTCTGGCTGGAGTTTCTCCTCTATTCCGTTTGCCGCTCACGCGCGGCACCTCATGTCGCCGAACAGGACTGCGAGCAGTGAAGCTGTGGGAGCAAGACGAACTGTGTCTAGGAGCATGTGTCTATGTGTAGTTTTCGTCTCGTCGTATGTCTTTCGTGTGCTAGACAAAAAGAGAAAGCCTTGTCTAGCGCCGCCCGTGTGCATCGCACGTTTTCTTCCTTTTTCGCTGTTGTCGTCGCTACCAAAAAGAGGCTTGCAGTCTGCCTTACCCGCTTTATTGTGGCCAGCGCCACGAGTACCTTAGTAGTGAATACCCCATCTTCGGCATCACACAGCCTAGGTACTATCTCATTTCTCCTTATACATCTTCCCTGTACTGCGTTCACGGTACAAGCCGCGCTTGCCCTGCTTCTCATTCTCTTAAATGCAATTCCGCATTTCGTTGTGGACTGCCTGTCTGGCTGCCTGGTCATTCCGTTGGTGGCAGGCATCCTGTGTAAGCACGAACGAGCACAACCGTTTGCGTTTTAGAGTACGCAACTCACCCCCTATCCTAGTTCCATCTCCCCGAGAAAGCAAAGGGGTAGAAAAAAAGAGACTCTATTGCGGTGGGTGATAGGGTTGAAAGCGGGGGTGAATAGTAAAGCGGGCTGTAGCGACGGGAGGACAATAAGGGTTGTGTGAGGTGGAGGAAATTTCAGGCTGAGAACCAGGAAGAGGTACGTTATAAGCAAAGGTGGAGGGGGGACGCAGTAGCAGGGGTGGGAACGTTTTTCAAGTTTCAAAATGCCACTCATTACCCTTTCCCCGTTCCCTAGGCTAGCCGTAACCCCCTGCTTCTCGACAGACTATGGTGTCCCGCTCCCCCCAACCTCCCTTGTCTTGACTGCTTCATGAGTAAAGCATTCATTCCACGTTGTAATACACAGGCGCACGCACAGATCCACAAACCTGCAAGCATCCTTTGCGTGTGCTTTCTCCCACTTCCTGCAAATGCCCCATAGCGAATGCCTAAGCAAGGGCATTTCGTTCCAGGGGTTCTTCCGTGCACACGCGCTTTTGCCTTGAAGAGCCTCTTTTCCCCACTCTATGATTGGACATAGAGTCTCGCGGATGCGACGGACAGAAAAAAAGACGAAAATCGAGCAAGCGAAGTCTTTATCTCGGCACAGGTTGAGCGCGGGTACTTGCACGTCGCTTGACATGCCGCTCTGTCTGGCTCGACTGTTCCTAGAAGCAGATAAGAAGAGACAATGAGATCAAAAAGCAACTCCTTTTACTTCACAGAGTCGCAAGACAGCACACAAAATACATGTTGATTTTCTACTGAAAGAGGCTACAATTTTTCGGGAACTTAATTTGATCAGCTCTTCGCTTGTGGAGCATTGAACGAAGTAGGCCGCGTGATTTTTACAACCACCATAGAAACAAGCTGCTACACATACAGGTGGCAAAGCTGCCGTAACTTGAGTATGTTAGCTCCAATGAACGCAAGTGATTTCTTCTTTTCTCTACAAAAACTTCCGGAACAATTTTAAATTATGAAACAGGTCTTTGGAACACCAACAAGTGTCTTGACGTTTAAAGTTTATTCCGCAGTACCCTGTTTATGCACTTCTTTCGCAATTTAGGCGCACTTGTGAAAGGACTTGTAGAAATTCAAAACTCACTGCCTCAATAAAGGAAAAGAAACAACTAGGTTTTTATTATATGTTTGTTTCATGTTTTCTTCCGACCCATCCTCAAGCACTTCCATAAGAAATATCCGATCCCAATTGATTGGTGTCCTAGTGTACTCAGTAATAAATATTCAGTCCTCAAGACCTTGAGTACTTTTCTCGGATATAAGGCAATCGCACCAGGAACTATTTCTGCGTTTATAAATAAACCAAAATTAAGGGCAATATACAGAATCTGCACAAAAGAAAAACAAAGATAACACACAGGTCACACCCTGCGAGGCTCTACTCTAGAAAAAGGTGTAGATGCATATAATTACATACACATAATGTATAATATTTTTCCATTAAAATCTCTAATAAGTCGGTCGTTACTGGATAAACCTCGTATTGGAGTTGATATTTGTGCCAAAGGTGGTAACGTTTGCTTCTACTGTCAGAGAAGTGCTTTCCACTCTAAGAATCCGCGTAACTTTTTTTTTTAGAGTGCATAATCTACAGTTTTACATCTCTTATATACCTCTAGACAAAATCCTTCACACACCATCTATAGTATAGTCAGAAAAATATACAATACCTTCGTAATATTCTACTATGATTTCACACAGATGTTACTAATTATAACATCAATATGTACGGAACATTGACAGCTGTGACCTCACAACCTTATACCTACTTAAAATAAGACAAGATCTAAACGTGACATACAGAGCGATTTATTCAACACGGATCTCCAGCGCAATTCCGCTCGCAGCTTATCGAGCTTTTTTTAGAGAGGCGTATGCCACATATTGGTTGCCATCCAAGGTGACTTTCGCATACTTGTTTTGTATCCATGGTGCTGACCATGAAGATGACATGTGGTACCCAACAAATGCGAGGATCCCCCGGCGTCGCCCGAAACAATCTGAAATTTACTTCAGCTTCTTCTTGGGACGGAGATTATTGCAATGTCCACACTTGCGCTTACGGCAGTTGTGCGCTTTTGGGTGCAGACGAGCATAGCATTTACGGCAGATCATCTTATCGCAGTTGTATTTCGACGCCAGAATACGAAGAGAGGGCTCAATCACACCACCTGATTATATGTAATAAAAACAACGAAATTAGTACAGATATCCGTAAAGAAAGATTATTACAAATCCCACAAGTCAAATTACTTTAGCAAATATTGTACCAACAACCAAAAATCAGGAAAGAACTAATGCTCGCCTTCGTTCGTGTCTAAATGAGCTCGTTTAATAATATTTAGCAGTTCTAAAGCCTAAAGCCTCAAGTATTACACGGATTAAATGAATGTTTGTAACCAGCACATTATATAAACACATAGCACATGCAATTCAAACGAATAAGTGAGGTTGTAAAAATACACTAAGCATGCTATCATCAGTAATTCCATCAATTTTTATTCCTATCCATTTCGCTATTTCTGATCAGGACTTTGAGCGTTGGCTAATAGTTCACTGTGCAAACACAATCTAAACAGTTTGTATATTACAATGTAGATATTAAGCTATTAATGTCGACCTGGCAAAGTACTTCAGCTCTGTGTGAGCTGAAGCTACCTGAAAACGAGGTAGATTTTTAGCTTTTTTTTATAAACGCTCGTAACCAGGTCACAGACTAACAACATTCTTTGACATGCACAAAGTCATATATAAGAACAATTATAATAACATTATAAACGCATTAGTTATAGTAACATCAACTGAGGAGCGAGCGGTGGCCACAGAGCTGCTATTCTGCAACAGATCCCATTAGCGACTCACAGCATTTGATAAAAATGGACATAATATGAAAATTTTAACTAAATATATGTTAGCGCCCTTCTATATCGAGAACGTTATGAAGTTCCGCTGACGACTCAAACAGGGGCTATTTTTCTTGCACCCGTTTCCATCTACGACCCCATCCATTGGTGCATTCGTAGAAGAACAAAGTGCTTTTTACGATCGACAATTACCTAAAAAAGCTTTATCTCAATAACATTTCATAGGAGCTACCCTAAGTACACGTAGTATATGTACAATATGTATAATACACATAGGTTTGAATAATTTAACCGTCTCAAAGCAAGTCTCCCTAAATATCTCATAAATATTGAAACATATTGAAGCATATTTTAGGTTGCGTACCCCTCAGTCTAGCGTTGAGAACTAAGGTCTTGTTTGAAAGCGTAGGCGTGATAATCGAGTTTTCGTCATACGCATGGGTACCCCATGATAGACGCATTTGATCGACAGGCACCTGGAAACACGTAATAGCCAAAAGAAACAATGGACAGGGTTGTTAATTAGCAGGCCTTAGTGAAACTGAAATAGAAAATCTACCCGTGTCACTTAATTTCGTTACGCCACCCCTTGTGCCGCAATAGCGTGTTGTGGGTATGTCGATACATTTTCCGTTTAAATATTATAAAGATAAAATCCTTATAATAATCGGCTAGGTAAAATTCTACTGAATTCAAACGTTATGGTATTACGAACTTCGTATCACAGTTATAACTGTGATACCGGATTTCTGACCGTAGTTGGGGGCACGTGCAGCTATTTTGCGAGTTAAATCAATCGATTTTGGGACTATACATACGTTTGTGACCTCTTCTAAATGGCACATGAGATCCCCGAAAGAAGACCCATTTTCCACCTCACAAGGGATCGTCTGCCCATCGATCGACTGCACGAAGATCTGCATCTTAATGTCGCCCTGAAATTATCCCGCATCAGTATAAGATATTGATGTCTGATTAATATAACTATAATGCAACTGTAATGCACTAACTGAAAGGACTAAATCGCAATAACTGGCATGGTGCAAATTTGAGCGTTTTTCGATTCTATTCGGATGTAACGATCATTATTCTATGGCGAACCATGCAATCGGCTTGGCCTTAGCAAAAAGATATGTGTCACATGGGTGCACGAATGTAAAACCTGGTAATAGAGTAGAATATCACAACGTGTTTCAGTCAATCAGTGAATCAGTATAGGGGCCACGCCAGAGATCAAGCTATGCTTATTTGCTCGTGCCAAGCTTTGCCATTTGAACACTTGCAACGTTTGTGAAGTTAAGTATTTTCAGCAAATCACTCACATAACACATTTTCTTTGAAACTTGGTTAAACACGACTAAAACAAGTAATTTAAACACGAGTACTCACTGCTAGCCACCAACCTTGCGATGCAAAAGACTATACTAATGATCTTTGTCTGCCAGCTTAATCGACAGAGGACAGTTGGCAACAGACCCGACTGCCCGCGAAAATTTGAATTGGAAAACTGAGGATCTTAGATCTATCATATTAAATTTTGCAAGTAACGATTTCGCCGCAACAATGCTATTACCAATTCTCTTCTAATGTTCAGCAATTTTCATAGAATAAAAGAAAAAACTGTGCACTCTGCAACTTTATAAAACTGATAAGAAGACCCTTGATTCGAATTTACACAAAGCCTGATCATTTTTGATTGAGTTTATTAAAATTAACCCAACGAACTGCTACTCTACGCACCTGGACGGCATTTATGTAGTACATTACACACCACAGAAATGGCCCATCAAGTCTAAATCTAAAAAAAATAGATATTTAAAAAACATATGAACCTTGCATAACGAATGCTACCTTAAACAAAATGCAGTTTGTACAGTGAAAGATGCTATTTTGTTCTAATAGTACTAATAATAATAAAATTCAATATAATTATATAATATATATAGGCTATATAATAATAATAATAGTCAGGTGTATACAGTATAAAGGCAAAAAAATGCGACTGTATCATTGTATGACAGAGACACACGTAAATCAAAGCCTATGAGATACTATATATTGCTTTAACGGAGATCATATGCGGGTTGCTCAATAATAAGTCTAGCTTTAATTGTGACCACCAGTTCGTATGGTACTGGGTGGTATATTTACCCACAAATTCGGAGACAGATAAGGAAAACAAGTCGACTTTGGCGAAAATAACCCTGGAGTAGACTTGACAAATGTTCGACTAGAGGTGATCTTCGGATTTGCTATAGAATCTTTGTCAAGCATGTAGTAGCGTTGCCATATTGTTTTGGTAATTAGTGCTATATACTGACCTTAAAGCTGAAGTTCCACGGAGGCTATATGCGTTAGCTGATTACTTTTTTTAGCCAGTTGCTGGTCTTCAATTGCGTCTGCAGAGAGATACATACAACGACGACAACAACAAACACGCATATAACAAAGTGAAAAAAAAATCATAAGTAATAATAATAGTTATTATTATTAACACTATTCGGACCCGCTGCGTTACGTCATTACCTCGAATTTATGGCAACAGCTAAAAACTACCTTTTTTGAGAGTTTTGTTAAATGTCCTTGGCGGAAAATAAAAATCTGTTTACTCAAAAAAAGTAGCAGCAGATAATTTTCTAACTATAAATAAATTTTAAATAACTGAGGACTGATTCACGCTCGAAGTCACACAGAGTTTGTTATCTTTAGCTACTCAGAACAAATGTAATCACCGTTTGAATCTTAGGAGTTCATTTTTACGTATAACTGATGAGTGGTTGTATACGTGCCCGCCTTTCTGAACAAAGCAGACACAACTGAATTGGTTAAAAATCATTAAATAATGTATATTTTTATAAAGAACGTTTTTAGCATGATAATCACTATGATAATTTTAATCAGCAGAACAAATTCGGTAAACTTGGGTAAATAAGTTAAAAGATTGCTTTTCACACCTTTCAGCTAAATGCATCTCTACTTCTACACATACGCTTAACATAAGTAATAAAACAGAAAAGCCTATTCACTTGCGGCGATTTAAGGACGCGGAAGTTGCGATCACAATTGACTAGTTACCTAACCATATCAAATGCAATAGCTTTATATCTATTTTCAGGCAGATATGTAAGACCATACAAATGTTAGGACATATGTATCCTTATGAATTCGTTTTTAATACATTTCACTAAGTTGAAGTATCGCCTGCATAATTGAGTATAGTACGCATTCTAATATAAAGTTATTTGTTTGCCAGGTTATTCCACCCCTTGCTTCTACCGTTATCTTTTCCGTCCCACTGACTAAAAATGATAGTCTCAACACGATGAGCTTTGCTAACACTGCGGTTTTATGTAGGCGGTCCGGGTGCACAGCGGGTGCTGTGTCCTCTCTCTTGTAGGTTTGACGTGTCCGTACTCTTTGTGCGCGCCACGACCGCACTTGACTATCTTTTTCTTGGTAGAATTCCTTTCTTGGATACGGCGTGCTGCTCCGATGAGTTCATACTGTGCGGACAAACATTGTATATAGACTATATTTTGAAACTTTTTCGGGGCACCATAACATCCTCTCTGTGTTAAGAATGTGTTGTCCTTCTCTCATGTTCCTTGGCGGCTCCTTCCTGGTGACTCCTGTGCTGGCTCGCCTTTTCATGCGGTCTGTCTTTCTTTAAATGTCACTCTCACTCGGTCATTTGTTAAAGAAAACACGGGAATAGTGCATGACGATGTAAACCAACAGCATCTGCAGCAGAGACGATGGTAGCAAAGCATTCTGCGAGTTGAAAACCTCTAAAGGCGTGGTTCACTGCGCAGAGGCCTTGTTGCTTGCTGAGTCCTTGTCCTCATCTGTCCCATATTGTGTCAACTGTGCACGTATCTCATACATGCGCAGTGGTAACGTATGACGTTCTCTTGTTTTCCGCAGGTGCTCAAAATGAAGTGTGTTACGCGAGTCCTAGGCACCGCCCCCAGCTTAATTCAGGCTGTAACCGTATTGTTCGCCCTTGTCTGTGCTGCGCCTTATGTCGCTTTGTTTCGGTACACTTACGAATCTTCTTCCTGTTTTTCACTTCATCCCGCATTCAAGCTCAATGGCTACGCGTTTTGTACGGTCAAATCTAAGAATGCTTTGTTTCCTTAATTCACTACACCTTATCTCGGAAGCCATTGTTTCCGCTAATCATTACCAAACCTTTTCAACTCGAGTTGTGCCATTGCGGTCCAAAGTAAACAGCTTTCTTGACCATTCACTTTTGTTTATCTAAAATTTTGCACACACCGTTTATCATTCTTATGTCTATTATTCTTCTATAAGTCTACTGTTCGGGTGCTGCTTCGCTTCTAATGTTTTCACAGGTTGTCTTTATGCAATAGGATATCTCGGTAGCATACGAAATTTATTTTCCCTAAGATGGCTAAGGGTCGACAAATGTGCGTGGCACGTTACGATTTGATAGTTCATAAGTTACCACAAAATCATAGTTTCGGCACCTATTCAATGATCGCGCCGTATCTTACTCAAATAAATAGAGGAAGGGCTCAGGTTAGCAGTTGTAAGTAGATCCATATTACATAGTTCACCAGCTAATTTCATTACTGAATTTAAAAATATTTAATTTAAGATTTAAAAATAAATAGCGAAAGAATTGAACGGGACCGTATCTCTTCTGCAACACTGAGGGACATACATGCATACATACCTGGGCTAGATAACACTGGCAAAAGTGACAGAACGTTAATGCCGTAAACTTAATGCCGCATTTTTATTTAAATTGATCGCAATAGAAAATACTGTTTTAGCACCTGTAGAACCGATACATATCTAATCCATAAACCTGGCTACTACTAGTTATTGGACAGGTGCCCAAACAAGGGCATTTGTTTTTTTTTACAATCAACCAGTAAATAATAGTCCGAGCGTAAGGACTCTTCACCCATACCTGAGCCGTTCGCAGAGCTGTGTCGCTGCAAATATGAAAACTATCTGTTCGATTGCCAATCAGGGTTCACTGATCTTCTCCATTCGTCACAAACTCCAGTGGAAAGGTGAAGTACCCACCGCGCGCTAGTGATGAGGGATTTGACCCCATTAAAAGATTTCATGATGTTAATCTCTGTCTTTTTTCGTTACGGTGAAGCTTAAATTGGCCTATGCTGCATCTTTTCATAAGTACACTATCACATTTTCAACCGTGAGCAGATCAACCCCACTGTGTGCTTGCTCTATAATTTAGACAATCGTATAACGAATTTAATTCCTTCCAACTTGCACTGACCACATAGTGAATTATGCTTATCTAAATATTCTGAATATTGTCAAATAACTCAGACTAAACTGATTATTTTTAAATCCGTGTTTCATAATTCACGTGTGATCCCGCAAGTATCCCTATACCATATTTGACAACGTGTAGGTTGGTTTAACAAGCATCGCATCATTTCACCGACCTATGCCATAGTCGAAGTAGTAAGCTAGCGATTGGATCGTTTAATAGTATTTCATGCAAGCTGAAGCAGCGGTAGGCAACATGCCTTTGCTCAAAATAGATTCTTATTTGAATCAAGCGTCGGTCCGAAGTACGCAACAATACCAACAACATGGCCCTCAATCATGAACTAAAACAATAAGCTTGCAACCCAACTACATGCCTGTACCGATGCAACGTCAGATACCTTGGCCAATCGACCCAAAAAACAAGATCTTTCATATTCAGTCCTCAACTGGCGTCTGCAGTACTTTCAAAGGAACGCCCCGTTGGATGCTTCGCCCTCTGCCGTGGTAATGATTGTCGACGTTAGCAGGCGGCGATGCTCGGCCCCTCGATGGTGGTTGCTTCTAGCACTGCACGTCCGATACCAACAAAGAAAACAACTAGTTAAACCATAAATAATATGTCGTCTCTTCGTAACCAACCCACTGTCTCTTCCCTTGAAATTGTTGTCTCAAGGGAGCTACTTGCTTCGTTTGACCTCCTTGTTCGTTACCGAACACTGCAAAGAGCACTAAATTGCTTATCATGTAGTAGATGGGTCAGTCAACAATACATTTAGCCATTTTGTCTGCCCCTGGCTGCTATTCCCTTTTTTCGCTATAATAATCTCCCTTTGCTATATCGCTTCGATGGAAGCGGACGATCGAGGCGAGACCGCGGATGTCGGTCGAGTCGAATGTGTCCATTGGGAAGCAATAACTCTGGTAGTTAAGCGCATGTACTGCCGCTACTGTTGGCAAAGAGAACGAGAAATTTCGCTTACTTCATCTACCGAACCGCAAGAAAAAACAACGACTTTGCGAGCAACCGCTTGCTTGTTCTCATTAGGAGCTCATCGCAAATCGTGCCTCGTTCTCTATTTGAAGACATTGTGGCCTGCGTTTATAAGGGAAGGAAAAATAGAGCAAGAGCCGTACATCGCCATGTGACTTGGTTTTTTTGAAGACTCAATGCATTTTTGCTAAGAGCTTCAATACTCCTGGTAGTTTTGCATGCGTATTGCTTTATAATGGCTCCTTCATTGCTAATTGATTTACGAACAGGGTGAAATTTGACAAGTTTTTTTCATTATTTATTAATATCTGATATAAAAAAACGGAACGGAAAGCGTGGGACAGTGACCACTATTTGAGTCAATTTTAGTTTCAGCCTTTCGTTACGTGCCTTCTGTATCGAAATTTTCAGCCAGCGGTCGTTCTGTATATACTCTACATATAGCAAGATATTGCACTGGATAAAGTGGGAATGGACTCTGTCAGAACCAAGTGTAACAGCGGATTAACGGATAAGAGAATTGGGGTGAATGGATGACACAGGTATTATTGGCATTGCTTGAAAATGAATAGTGAACAGGACAAATATAATCTAACAATGCGTAAAGGCCATGACAAAATAGATTTGAATGCGCGGATAAAATATCCAATGCCTGAGAGGGTGTCCTAAACGTAAATCTACGCAGAACTATCTATTACGTTATTCTACAGGTTGAGCTCTGGTATTCATAGATACAGATGATCTTGAACTACAAAAAGGTCGAAGCCCATTGTTTTATCCACGACTAATAATTGAATAAAAGAGAAAATGCTGAATTGATACTTTCCTAGCCTCTTTGATTCAAAATCTACCGGCTAGTTACGAACAAACGTTTTGAAGTGAATCTTTGAAGGGCTTTTTCATAATAATTAGCTGGCTTGAGGATTTCAGATACGCGGACAGCTGGCACCTTTCATAGATGTGCTCAGCCCGACTCGACCGCTCAAATGTAGAAATGAGATCACAGTTAAATTAGCTATTAAATCATGTCCGTGTTCCGTTCGTAATACCTCGACACGATCCGAGTTGAATATTTTCTTTATTTTTTCTGTGCTTTAAAAGATAGGATTCAAAAACGCAATTGACAAATGCCTTTTGGGGCAATACAAGCCAAAACGTGACTATTTTTTATGATCCATGAAACTGTTTATAACGGGAACTTTTTTGGAAGGTGCACTAAAGTGTGCCTTTCGGAATTTAAGAGAGGCTGCAAAAAATTCAGTACTTTGGATATATCGCACAATTTTCAATGGTACTTTGATATAGAAAAAAGCGTCACTTTGACCCCAACTTAGAAGACCGTCTACTGCTAGACGACTCATTAAATGTGGGCAACCCGCCAGGTTAACGGTGACCCACATCAGCCCATTTTAGCTAGTAATTTTGGGAATAAATTTTGCTGGCTGGTGCTTTCACTAAATAAACCACAGGTGAATACGTCTACTTGCACATGGCTGCAAAACATCTGAAAGACCTGGATCATTAAGGTGGAGACAATAATTAACTGCTGTATTTGAATAGACTAAAACAACAGCTTGTGCTTCGATGAGGTGTGGAAATTTTATTTCATTCCCATATTGGTCTATTAGATATTTGCGATATTCTGGGAACCGCTGCCAACGTTGCCCCGGTAATAATGCAGCTTGGTATTCTATCAAATATACTCTGAATATTATTTCGATTCGATATTCGACGGGTCAGTACTTTCTATCCTCCATCCGACCGGCCAACAAATAGTTGTGGGCCGCTAGTGATCTTTATATTAAAAGATTCCGGCTCGGAATGCCAGTGCTATTTCGTACTAGCTTATACGACACCCGCCTCTCACTTAATATTTACATTTGCATCATCATATGAAATTAAATTTTTGGCCATACTGTTTTTCACACTGACGAAAATTATACCAGTTTTTTTGAAAATGCTATACAAATCTATAACTTGCTCGATTTTCAACTGTATATTCGACAAAGAAGCCTTTCACATTTTTTGTTATAAAAGGGACCATTAGCCATAGTAAAGGTCCATTTAAGTGATTTTTTAGTCAGTGGAATCATATATATATATATATATATATCTTTTACAAAGTTTGGAAGTATATACAAATATTTGGAAGATATTCCGCGTTTAATTTTTTTGTCAGCAAATAATCTACGCCAGTTACAGAAAAAACGTAAGTGGTTTGCAATTGTTTTATAAATCGCGTAGATTATTGCACCCTTTTATAGCATAGCTTACATACATAAGATACAAAACACTTTTGTTATTCATACGGCAAATATCTGATTTCCTGCTCATTTCTTAGAAAACATGGGATGACTTTTGAAAATAAGACTATACTATATACAGCGTATAATTGAGAACTTGTTGAAAACTCGTGGAGTGGCCCATAAGCAATGTGCGTTTTGTTATAGCCATTAGTGGCAAATTACGAAGCCAAAAGAATACACAATGACGCAACACTTGAACCGAAATCAACCTTCAACATATTTTTCAAACAAGAATCGGCAGTGATCACGCTTATATTGGCCGCATTACCAGCCCAGTAGATATCCAGTCGTCAAAGAGCCACTAGTGCGAGTTTACTGAAATATTTATTATACACAGTCAAAGTTTCAATGGAGCAATAATATTACCATTCCGGTCAAATTTGAATTTCCCGCCGGCAAATGAGTGTAAACAACAACGCATCCATTCTGGTCCTCGCCATCTTGGCCTTTCTATTCGGTCGTACGAGGTCTATACACGACTGTAACGATTGGTGAGGAAGTCAGAACAATTTGAATGCTACGTTTTGTGAAGTGTTTGACTAAGAAAGTGTGTTATAGCTTCCCGTCAAAGTGAAACCGTATCAGGGACAAATTGGACTTTCAGGTAAGTTTTGTGTTCGTTAAATGTGAAGTGCTACCAAACCGGCGTTCGCTGCGCCTCCTGTGCGAATACTATACTCGACAAATTCGACACTTTGTCACAGGAGCATTAAGGTTTGTTGTGTAACAAACGAGATAACGGTCTGAAATCTCTATGTAGCCCCCCACTATCGTAGTGCCTCTGTTTACGTATGTGTAGTGCTTCAGTCAATAGTCGTTGTGGTGTTGTGTCACCTGTGCTACTCAGCTGATCTTCAGTTTGGCTGGAGTCGCGGACTAATCAACGAAAATTCGGTAGAATATTAGGCAAGTGAGTACAAACAACACTTGTAGCCCACCTATTTTAGGAGATGAAGGTGAGCAAGAAATTCGATTTTAATTATCTAAGCACGTATTATACTGAATGTGATACAGTGCTGTATAGCATAAAGGGTAGGCGATAAAAATCGTAGTGCATGATTTGGCGTGAGCTCTTGATCGTCAAACGTCTTTATCGATAAAGGCTACGCCTAAGCTAAATTGACGCGAAGTTGGACGAGATTCAACACCCGAGGCATAGACTAAATGGCATAGAATCATAAGTATGATCAAACCAGTGAAGAAGCGGTAAACTGGGGCTGCATTGGTGCACTTATACTTTTTCTCGCACAACTTTCTTGTGTCGCCAGATTCCACACTGCAATTCGTTGGATACTATCATCTGATGCATGTGAAAGAGCTGCGACTCATTCATTGCTTCGTCTTCTAACCTAATTGACTTGGGATTAAAAATACTACACGAGCGTCGTGTGGATTGATTTCAGTGAGGACCCGGCTGTTTTTCATGCGAAGTTATTTGTAGTAACGGCGCGCTAAAACTCAATTTTGGTTCCTAATATTAACAACAAATTTATCCTACTTAGCTCGTCTTGTGCCATCCATTGCTACCCATTTTACCTAGAGTCCGCAACGGTGTAAATGTTGTCTGTTTCATTTGAAGTTCATAAAAGTTGCTATATTCAACAACATAAGATGATCGAAAAACTGATAAGTAAAAAAACGATGAATGTGGATGTACAGTTATAACCTCTGTTACCTTTGCGAACGACGTTCGACAAAATGTATACGTTTCGCGTACTCTGCTTATCGCTGTTAATTAATACTATTTACTAATTTATTCAATATTCACAAACTACATTTTTTTAACTTACAGAAGTGAATGCTGTTTCATATATTTACACTTTATATTTACATTTAACTTTATATTTATTTATATATATATATATATATATATATATATAAAACATTGGCATGATTTATTATTATCACTTTTGTAATAACGACGATTATGCAGAAATGCGAAGTATTTTCATTGTCTCAAGAGCGTTCGACTTTTTAATCGTTTGTAAACATCAATTATTTCCTTAAGACTCAGTGCATTTATTTGATTTTTATCTTTGAACTATTGGATAACGGGAATCTGTATTTGTGTAGTGGATCTATTTTAAGTAAATCTTTAGATGTTTTGCTTGTTATGTGAAAAATCAGATGATCTTATGTCTTGGCAAGATCTACCGAAGTAATTGTTTGACATAAAATGCCAACTAATGGTTGTGAATGAACAGTACAGAAAGCTGGGAATTTAAAGTAAATTGGGCCAATAGGCTAGTGTCATCTCAATAAACCTCTTAGAAATGTATACGACGTCGTTCAACTCGATTGCAGCTGCTTATGAAGCTTTCAAACCGCTTTATATCAATAATGCCATTGATAGTAATGCAATTTAACAATTATGTCAACCGTTGCTTACAGGGCTAGTAACATTTGTGGCTGCAGCACCAGAGGTCAACGACCATGAGTGACTTCATCGAAAGTGAAGCAGAAGAAAGCTCCGAGGAGGAGCAGACCGATGAAACTCGTCTTCATAAGAAAAAAGGGCGGCCGGCTGCTCAAATCGACTCGGACGAAGAAGAAGATGGTATGCCCCAATCTGTGATTGTTTCTGTCAAATCTTTGCGAAACATGAGGGGATTGAATATTAGTTAGTGGTTCGGATTGCACTTGAAAGCAAGTAAACGTTAGAAAAAATATATTACGGTTTTAATCAGATAAGGACTGTCATTCTTTTCTCTGCATACGAGGCCTGTACCATAAATAAGGGACCAAAAAAATTATATATTTTGAAAAAAAATTGTTGCGCTTTTGTGTAAGCGGTTTGTTAATTTCAACGGTTTCTAAAGATCTTCACGAAAAACGTAGTGAGAAATCTAATAGATTTATTGTATAGTATCGCATGTACTTATTTTTTTAGTAAATTGGTGGGCTTTTTAACTTCAGAAAATACTGTGTATTTTAAGTGAAACTCATGATTATATTATTCTACTAGCTGGAAGTATGCATTTCTCTAGATGTTATGAACTGCAACGGCATGCAATAATAGGGAGTTACTTAAACCATAAAGGCTTCTGAAGTATGTAGTCGATAGCGTTTTAATAAACATAGCACATCCAATACTTAATGGTTGTGCAATCGAGCAACTATAACCCATAGTCAACTATTTCAATATTTGATTTTCTAAAGAGAGATTGTCTAACATCTAACAACGCACGTTTACTAACGATATTTCTTTGTGATTTTCCAATTGCTTACAAAACATTGAATGGAATCATTCGTAGGAGGTATACACACGACTAAATATTATACCACCTGTTTGTATTTAGTTCCATGTATATACATTGTGCCCGTATTATATATTGTGCATGTATGCATGTTAGCAGACAATTCAGTTATTTGAGGTTGTTTTATTTTGAATTGAACCGTTATGTCATAAAGTATATGTGGCTCAAGACTAAAGGGTCGGAAATATCGCGACGTGGATTGATAACATTTTATATACAAGTTTTTGCGGTAATGTTTCGTATCATATAGTAGGAGAATTTTTTTCGACAGTTATTTATTTTTGTCTTTCATCTACTTCGACGCAGATGAGGAGAAGTTAGCCGAAGAAATGAAAGACCTTATCAATGACGATGAGGAAGAAGAGGAAGGCTCATCAGGATCTTCGTCAGGTTCATCGTCGTCGGGTGAATCTGGCGAAGAAAGCGGACGTGAAGACGTAGGAGAAGGCGGCCACAAGGAAAAGAAGCATAAGAGAAAGCATGGTAAGATCAGTCGACTCTGAAGCGGTTGAATACTTAACAGACAGTTTTGAAAGGCGTCACACTAGAAGGGAACCGCCCTTATTAACTCAGATTTTAGTGAAGACAGGATGGAGAGCACGGGATATTAGGGCAAGAAAATTCTATTAATTAAGCGATAATTTTTCGTCATGGATGCAGATTATGATGACGATAACATCGACGACGATGATTTCGACCTCATCGAAGAAAATCTTGGTATAAAAGTTCAGCGCAAGAAGAAGCTCAAACGTGTTAAGGTGAGTGGTAAATATTAGTAGAGGTGTTTAAAATGTGTCACGGTTTGTTAAGGTAGCTTAACTTAATGTTTGAACTATTATCTAAAAGCAAGAACAGGCGTGGAAAGAATACACATTAATAAATTATTATCATAATGAGGATGCACAATATGCTAAATAAGGTCGCTTTTTAATTACATTTCACAGAAGCTATTTACCGACCGGCTATGTATTTTCGATTTAGGTGCTCGATGAAGATGAAGAAGAAGAGGGCGATAAAGAAAAAGATAAAGATGAACTTGCTCAGGAATTATTTGAGGACGGTGATGAAGATATGGATGAAACCGCTTCGAGAGCTGACAGAGATTCATCTCGACATCCTGAAGATATTCACAGATCACAGTTAGTGCTTACAGCATATATTAGTTTCCTTTTTACGTTTCTTAGTTAATTGATGACAGGGTGCTTCTGGCTTTTTCCCTATTCATAATAGCGAGTACCCAAGGGCCCATTAAGGCCCTTGGAAGATTTCACTTTGAAGAACGTCGGTGCTGACGAACTTATGGGGAAACGACTTATTAATTGTGGCTCAACTAAGGTATAAATGTTTCTTTGAAGCTAATTTTGTTGTTGGCCTCTCTAGCTTTATGTACTGTCGAATATTTTAACCGTCTATAAACCGTCATTTCTCTGCAGTCGACTTAAATTATGTAAGTTTTGTTATAACCAAGCCGTACTCAAAAGTTCTCAGGATAGCAGCTTAGGGCATTCTCTAAGCCCAAAAAACACCTTTACAAAGAAACAATCAGCACTTAATGGAACAGGAGTACTTTTTAAAGTAATAATAGCCTACCTGGAATACATGATTTCAATGTAAAATAGATTCTGTAAGCGAATATTGTAAACAGGTTTATAAACATTTTTACTCGATGTTTTCGACTTTCAGGGATGAGGACCTCGGCACCGAATCGGGATCAGATGATGATGTAAATGATTTTATTGTCGATGACGATGGCCAACCCATAACGAAGACCAAAAAGAAACGTCACGTCAAATATTCAGACAGTGCTTTACAGGAAGCGCAGGACATCTTCGGGGTTGAGTTTGGTAAATTTTTTTTTTATATCGTGGTTTAAACCCAGAAACTTTTTCACGACTTTCACGATAGTGACCACAAAGGCAATATATCAATCTACCATAACAGAACTTTCTATTTTTTGCGTTGCAAGTTTGAGATTAGACATTTTAAAAAGCGCAACTCATTTTATCTAGGACTTATATTAAGTGGTCTTTGACTACAAACCATATACTTGATGAATATAGATATATTTTCTATTTTGCAGACTATGAGGATGTTCGTGGATATGATGATGAATTCGAGGGTTCTGAGGAGGATGAAGAATACGAAGATGAGGAGGAGCAGGAACCTGGCGCTAGGCCAGCTAAGGCCTCCAAAGCTGCTGGTAAAAAGGCTGCTGCAAAGAAGTCTATCTTTGAAGTATTTGAACCGATTGAACTGGAACAGGGTCACTTCACCGATCGAGATCAGGAAATTCGTACAACTGATGAACCGGAGCGTTTTCAGTTGCGTGGAGTACCTGTCACTCAAGCTGACGAAACGGAACTTGCGGAAGAGGCAGAGTGGATCTTTCGTCAGTGTTTTCTTAAGCCCACGATTTCTATACAAAAGCCGCCGCTGGGCTCGGACTCGTCCGATAGCGGTGATCGCTCATCGAGTGGTCACCAGCCACTGGGAGGTAAAAAGAGCCGTACAGCCGTCAATAAAATCTGCGAGACACTCAAGTTTATGCGCAACCAGCATTTCGAAGTTCCATTTATCGCTTTTTATCGAAAAGAGTACGTCCAACCAGAACTAACAATTAATGACCTGTGGCTAATCTACAAGTGGGATGAGCGCTGGTGTCATCTCCGTCAACAAAAACTAAACATGGAAAAGCTGTTTAAGAAAATGCAGGAATATATCTGTGAGCAGATTCTAAACGACGACTCTGCCGCTGATAATTTGCGACAAATTGAGGAGACTGACTTCGAACGACTCCGTGAGGTGCAGTCTTCGGAAGAATTGAAGGATGTGTACCTTCATTTTCTCCTCTACTATGCCCAGGATTTGCCCGCAATGCAAGAAGCTGCGATGCTTAAGCAGAAACAAAAGCGGGAAGAAGTCCGTCGGAAACGGCTCGAAAAACAGAAAGAGAAAGCGGCTCGCCAGGCCGAAGGAGGTTAGTTGCTTCTAAATTTGCTAAGCAACTAACTGAGCCATTGCGTATTTTAAGAGAAAAAAAGCAGGCATTCTTACGAATGCACGTTAAATTACCGGGTTATTTATTATTCAATTGATTATGTTTCCCTGTAATGATAGCGCTTAGTGCAGCCGGAATGAATTGCTTCATTCAGCAGAAGAGTACTATTTGAAAACCTGGTTCTGGACTTTGAATAAGGGAAATCCTTCTCCACGAAAATTTGGCAGTTACGCTTGTTTGATATTTTTATTATTATAAATGCAATCATACGTATATTGAAACAAACAACATATTTCTAGACCATAGGCTATTTGCTGCTCTTTTAAGAGTTTTCATTATTCATCTTTGTTCCACTGTTTCGAATTAATGATTCGAGTTTTCCACCTTAAGCATTGTTGCATCGTAGTTGCTATCGATATTCCTTAAGTTCATAATTAATTGAGTTACATTTTGTCTGCTAATTGTAGGTGACGGCGCCGATGAAGAAAGTGCCGATGACGAACTTGAGGACGAGGACGACGGTGAAAAAGAAGAACTATTTTTAAAAAGAGCAAAACAAAAGGACTGCTTTGCTGTTTGCCGAGAGCTAGGTTTGCATGGGCTCGCCAAGAAGTTTGGTCTTACTCCACAACAATTTGGTGAAAACCTTCGCGACAATTATCAGCGTCATGAGGTACGACATATTAATACAGTTGATCTAGTCTATTTAAAGCTCTCAATCTTCATTTTTATCTATTGCCAAAATAACGATGTAAAGTTGTTTGAACATATTCTGTCATATGAATTTTATTGTGTGTACTTTTAGGTGGTCCAATTTCCTGTGCAACCCCTAGAGGCAGCTGCAGAGTATGTAAATGATCGTTTAAATACACCCGCTGAATGTCTTAAAGCCGCAAGGTATATGGTGGCCTGCGAAATCGCCCGTGATCCTACGGTCCGTCGTTGTGTACGGGAAACTTTCTTCGAACGAGCCAAACTGAGTGTCACACCAACAAAGACGGGAATTAAAGAGATTGACGAATCGCATCCCTGTTACGCCTTTAAATATTTAAAGAACAAGCCTGTCCGTTCTCTACAGGGAGATCAGTTCCTAAAATTGAAGATGGCTGAAGATGACAAGCTAATCAAGATCTTTGTCCGTATGGATGGTGAAGGCGCATCGGATTCAGGCTCGTATGCCCATGACGTGCGTCAGCTTTACCATCGTGACGAATTCTCGAAAAATGTCCAAGAATGGAATGGACAACGAGAAGAAGCTCTAAATTATGCCCTTAATAGATTGCTGTATCCGACACTGGAAAAAGAACTTAAGTTGCGACTACTGCGAGAAGCATTCGATCACGTTTTAAGGGCGTGTGCGAACAAGCTTTATAACTGGCTCAAAATCGCACCATATGAACCTCCCGAAGAAGTTCAGGAGGAGGAGGATTTCGATACACGTGATGGCGTGAAGATACTGGCCATCGCCTACCAGAACGACTGGAACATCCCGGCATTCGGAGCCCTAATTAGCGGCGAAGGAGAAGTAACTGATTACATTCGATTAGAGAATCTTCTCAAGAGACGGAACGCTCGTCGTGAGACTGAACGTGAGGGAAAACAACGAGATATGGAAAAACTGAAACGATTCCTTGCAGATAAGAAGCCTCACTGCGTGGTAATCTCTGCAGAAAGTCGAGAAGCGCTGAGCGTCAAGGAAGACGTGGAACAGGCCATCCGGGAGCTTTCTGAAGAAGAACAATTTCCGCCGCTGCAGGTGAGAGATTCCCTTAAAATTTAATGAGAAATCTTAAGAAGTATGTTTGTTAAAAAAGGATTTTATCGTTTTCGCACACTTAGCCGGTTATATTTGAAGAACGTTATTTTTTTAGTGAAGTATCCTTTCAGGTGTTAAATTGAAGTTCTTGCATGTAAATAAGTTATTGTTAATCTTACGTGTGCTTTTTCTTGTATGCAGGTGATGCTTTTAGATAACGAGTTAGCTATGGTTTACGCCACCTCAAAGCGAGCCGAACAAGATTTTGCGCAATATCCACCTTTGCTAAAACAGGCCGTATCACTCGCTCGTCGTATGCAGGATCCTCTCATTGAGTTCTCTCAATTGTGCGGCCATGACGAAGAAATATTGTGTTTGAAATATCACCCTCTTCAGGACAATGTGCCAAAAGAAGAATTTGAATGGGTTTTAGCTATGGAGCTTATTAATAGAACAAATGAGGTCGGTGTAGACATTAATCGATGCGTTGAGCAGAGCCATACATCGGGACTACTGCAGTTTGTGTCTGGCCTTGGACCGCGTAAGGCGTATGCTATTATCAAGAACTTAAAACAAACGCATTCGAAACTCGAGGGCCGCTCAAATCTCGTAACTAGCTTGAAACTTGGCCCTAAAGTGTTTCTCAATTGCGCTGGGTTTATCCGTATCGACACAAACTCATTCGAGAGTAGTTCGAGTGCTTACGTCGAGGTTTGTGCACATATATATATGCTCATGTATACGTGTCGATGAATTATTTTTAACATTTAGGTAAAACACAAGCTGCTGATGATTATCGAGGTAGAAAATTTGAGCAGATTATGGTCAAATCCGAAAATTCTATGTTTAATAGATGTGCGTATGCCAGCATTAATGGATTAACAGGCGGTTGCCACACCTACCAAATTTCCTTTGTTTTAAAGGCTGTTTAAGTTATCCTTAATGCTGATGAGTCGTTAATCTTTTAACACGTACATTCGATTAATCTTGTTTCTCTCAAATAGGTGCTAGATGGCTCGCGAGTTCATCCCGAAATGTATGAGTGGGCACGCAAAATGGCGACGGACGCCCTCGATTATGACGACAATGATGAGGCGAACCTCAATCCCGCCGAGGCGCTAGAAGAGATCCTCGATAATCCTGATAAACTCAAAGATCTTGATCTCGACGCATTTGCTATCGAACTTGAACGGCAGGGCTATGGCAACAAGAGTATTACATTATACGACATTCGGGCTGAGCTAAATCATCGTTATAAAGATCTCCGTGTCGACTATGCGCCGCCCGAGAAGGAGGTTTTGTTTAATTTGCTAACTAAAGAGACACCGGAGACCTTCTACCTGGGCAAGCTGGTTACGTGTCAGGTAATAACCATAAGCTAGAACTCACTTCTCACATTATACAATATGCTATCATACTAAGTCAATCTTGATTCGTATTGCATAAATATGCAATGAATACCGTACTTTGATGCAAATCTAAAAAGATAAATACGAGAATAAATAACGATTTGCTGGATGACTTGTAGGTATCTGGTATTGCTCGCAAAAGGCCTCAAGGGGACCAGTTGGATCAGGCTAATCCCATCCGTAACGACGAGTCTGGACTATGGCAATGTCCCTTCTGTCTCAAAAATGATTTCCCGGAGCTCTCCGAAGTGTGGAACCACTTCGATGCGGGTAATTGTCCAGGACCGGCCATGGGTGTCAAGGTAGGTTTGCCTAGATACAGCGGACCTCGGCAGAGTAACGCGAGTACTTATAAATACAGGCCTATAATAGTGACTATAATAATAACTTTATACATACAAATTGTGTAGTATATTATATTAAAAAATACAATTTAATACGTTGAAAGTAATCTATATTAAGATGAGAGGCAGCTGATAAATGTATTGCTTAATTGTAGGTCCGTTTCGACAACGGTATTACGGGCTTCATCCCAACGAAAAACCTGTCAGATAAACGCGTCGCTAATCCGGAAGAGCGCGTTCGTGTTGGACAAATCATCCATGGACGTGTGACGAAAATCGATATCGCACGATTTGCTGTTGAACTGACAACCAAGAGTTCTGATCTCGCTGATAAAAACGGTATGTATGACCTGCAGATCCCATTTCTATAGTAAATGCTTCTCTAAGTTTAGTTTGGACTATATATACGGATCAAAAGTAGTTATCTTGAGCATTGCGCATAACTACATTGGTTGTTTCTTTTGCCGTTAGGTACGCATATTTTTTTTATCTATATTTATTCGAAAAGTCGAAAAGAACTTTTATGTAAATACTTACTAAAAGTGTTTCATTTATTTTTTGTGCATATATTGACCAGGTGAGATGAAACCACCAAAGGATTTATATTATGACCATGACGCAGATGATAAAGAGCGTCGCAAGGCGGATGATGCACAAAAACATAAACAGAGACAAGTTTATGTCAAACGTGTGATCGTCCATCCTTCATTTCATAATATTAGTTACCAAGAAGCAGTCAAATTGTTAAAGACCATGGACCAGGGCGAAATCGTCATTAGACCATCCTCGAAAGGTGAGTGTCGCAGAAATGCGATTCGTAGTGTTAAATATTAAAAGAGGGCACTTCTTTCGCAAGGATGTTCTCCGTGTCTTAGATGACACTCTCTATTTTAGGCGTGGATCACTTGACCGTAACGTGGAAAGTTCACGGAGACATTTTGCAGCATATCGATGTGCAGGAGAAAGGAAAGGAAAATAGTTTTTCGCTTGGGTCATCGTTAATTATAAACGGCGAGGAATTTGAATGCCTCGACGAAATCATAGCTCGTCATGTTCAGCCAATGGCTGGGTTCGCAAAGGACATTGCTTCTTTTAAGTACGTATAATGCAGACTTCAAACATTTCTCGCTTATTAAATTCTGTAGTAAAATGCATCGTATACACAAATAACTCTAGCATTATAGCAGTACTAAAATGCTGTGCGTACTTGGTATCCGACTTTCATTTCTAGCTGCTTGAAATTGATTGATCGAGCATGAATGACCCTATATGTATATTAGTGGATGTGTTTGTCTTATAAATAACTTCTAAGGTAGTTGAGCGTTAAAGCGTACTAAATTATTATTTATGATACAAAAATCGAGTACATTTCTTACAGGTATTTCTTCGATTTCGAGGGCGGTAAAAAGGAACAAGCCGAAAAATGGCTACAAGAAGAAAAACGAAAAGCACCTGCGAAAATTCCTTATTGTATTTCCGCCTGCGCCAATTTACCAGGCAAGTTTCTACTTTCATATCAACCAAGCACAAAGCCCCGGCACGAAATGGTGACAGTCACACCGGATGGTTTTCGTTATCGAAGCCAGGTGTTCCATTCGTTAAACGCTCTGTTCCGATGGTTTAAGGAACATTTTCGGGACCCGATCCCGCTTGGAGGGTCGTCAGCATCGGCAGTTACTCCCGGCGCCGCAAGCACCCACCCATATATGACACCAGGGATGGCGACGCCCGGTCGAATGAGCGCCGTACCAATGGTAATGGCTACTCCAGGTATGGCCACACCTGGAGCCCGAACCCCAGCTTCTATTGCGACAGCGTCCTATGCCGCTGCTTATAACGCTGCTGGCGCAGGTTATGGAGCAACGACTGCCGGCTTCGGGGGTATGACTCCCCAGCCAATGCAGATCTCGACGACACCCGGCTACGTGACACCTGGGCAAAGTTACGCCGGAAACTACGGCGGATCAATGCCCCCACCGACAACGCCCAGTTCGTCGTATCATCGAAATCCTCAGTCATCGTCACGATCGCATCACGGATCGCCCTCACCAAGTCCGCGACCATCTCCGCGTTCACACCAGTCTAGCGGATCCACGCGTTCCGGTGGAGGCAGTAGTAGCAGGGATCAGCACGGGAGCAGCTCGTCCTTAGCTGGCGCAGGACGCTCTGCTGAAGACTGGAAAAAAATGGCTGTCGATTGGGCTAGCGGCAAATCGAGAAACCAGGGCGGAGCTCGACGAGATTAAGAAGGGAAGTTACATAGGGGTATAGTAACGCATGGGAAATAGGCAGAACAAATCTAATGGGCGATTGGACGACTGATTATTGCCATTCACCAAACAAAGAAGAAAAATGCGGAAATACTTAGGGCCTGGAGGGAAAGTATTTATGTATCAGCAGTTTCCTTTTCGGCCAAAAGGTTGTCGATAGTTATGTACATACAGAAATGCTGAGAAGAGACACAAGCCACGTAAAATGGGTTTCTTGCAATACATAATGAACCTATCGATCTAGCGGAATATGTCTATGTAATTAGTCATTACATCTTTTTCCATTATTGTCATGTCTTTATATATATAAAAATCTGTCTACATTAAAAAAACACGTTGTCGTGAAACGGACTAAATTAATCATGTATTATTGTTTTTTTTTTGCAAAAGAAACAGATAAAAAGGGCGAATAAAAGAAAATGATATTGAGGTTTATCAGTCGAGAGCAGAAAGGTTCTGTCAAAAAGTTTTCAATGAAAGAAAAACGAACAAGTTACAAAATGCATATATATAACGCGTACGGTGTTGTTTGTAATTAAAAAAAAAAAGTTAAAAACAAAACGAATGAAATAATGCTTTTGACCTAACCCAGTGGGATCTTAGCAATAGCTTAGCATAACTAGCACTGTTATTATCGAGGTTTCATTAAATAAAGTACTTACGTTTTGAGTGTCATAATACTGGACAAATAGTTACTTAGTCTAGCTACGATGCGTATAATATTGATATTGTTAACTCGTCCCATTCTTGCGTCGGCAACTCTGTAGATCCGATGGGAGGGCATCTTACTTCACTTGAGACTTATTTAGGACCCTCATGTCAAAATTTTCTTTACTTGGTTTGGGAAGGCAAGGTCCCTTATGGAGTGCAGGTGTATTGCTAATCCTAAATAGATTCGAATTCTATGTATGAAGCATCTGTGTATTCATCGTAGAGATGTTTAGGTGATTTTCATAGCATACGTCCGTTCAAAATCAATATGAGCCACATCGCGAGTTCATCTCACGTTTATGGCGATATAATTGTTCCGTAGACTTGCTTTTTAAGTCGTAAGGTAAGACGCAAGTTAGATAGTTATGTTGTTGTTATTGTCACCTTATGTCTACTGCGTGTGTGATGACGTAAACGAACCGTAAAATGTGATAAAATTCAGTCTGTAAATTTAGAATGGTTAAGTAGGTTTAGTTGTCGGGCTTTAGTTTTATTTTTTTTATTCATTAGTTCTTAGTTTTAGATGATTATCTTCAGCTGCGATTAAGATAATCCTCTTTAATTAATCAACCCTTGATTATTAATTAATTATCCTTGCGTATTCTTTTTTACTCAAGACTAACATGGTGAAAGCTTAATATTATTTTAGTATTGAAATTTTGGCTGTTTCATGTACTAAATTTAGCGAAAGAACATAATTTTGAGATTATTCTTACATTGATAAAGTACCCAAATAATGACAGCAAACACAATGATACTATATCATCACAAACTCAAATACTGTACCTAGAGAAACATTCCAGCGTGCCAGGCATAACCGTGTGCCGGAATTAAAAATACCTGTATAATTTATATATTTTAGCAATAAAGAACTTCAACCGCTGGAGGCTGGCGACTAACGTGCCGTCTGAAGTGTACTATATACCCACCTCCGGCCGGGGTCTATGATTTGTACGTATGCACTTATTGTAATTATATACTTTGTACGTTCGTTTCACTCGGCCCTCATTCTGCACCTAATATCTCGCAAATTGGGGGTGATGCGCCATGGCCCGTGCAACCAATAGCTGTACTGCACAACCTGCTTCTCGACTCTTTAGGCAGACTTGAGCTCACGTAGCAGCTTCCAGCACATATTAGGCTGCTTCTGTATGAGGCGCAAATAGACGGGTTTTCTGGGTTGAAGCGTCTGGTGCGCAGGGTGTTTCCGAAATTATATATATTGACGAAACCGAATATGGACTTCTTTTTGCAACTTAGGGGCAGAACCGTTTTTAAGTTGACTGCAGCACCACCGATTCCTCCAGCCGTAGAGTTTTGAATTCGTAAAATAGTTCGAATAGAGTAGTATCTAGAGTCACACTAACAGTAGTATTCACCATGAAGACGACCGCCAAAAGCGTCGTGGCAACGGAGGACGGCGCACTTAGGCCCTTTGCGACATGTGGATGGCCTGCTGTACCAGCCGGCTTGCCTGGTGAGCTACGGCAATTCTCGCATGGCAAATATTGGAACGCGCCATATATTGCCAGACGCACCGACCCTTAACTTGCCTTATCTGTAACGGCAGCGTCAGTGGCCCCATACCGGTTCTGAAGGAGAGATGGGGCTTCTATTATAGCACGTAACTCATCGGGCCGAGAAAAGGTGAACGAAACCGGTGCACTACTCCATACTCACCAGCACGAACAGTGACACCTTACTCTACACGCACAGCGGCATAAAATTTATGCTTGTTTTAGCGAAGAACGCGTCAGCGGATCTATAGGCGTCTGAGGCAGACGACATTCGAAGCTTGGCTGCAATCTCTGATAAACGCCACGATTACAAACGTATGCTCGGATCCAGGCTAGGCGCCTTGCTCCAGTAAATAATAACCTTCGATAGGCGGGCGCTTCCCGTCGACTTGCATCAATCGATGGGCTATCTTGGATCTGAGTGGCCATCGTGACAAAGCAAATGTTGCCAACTTGGTCGATCGCGGGAAGACTGGCCGCAAATTGAACGGCCCAGAATAGTACAATGTGATCTCCCGTAGCAGAAATTGGATGACCGTTCCATCCTCAATCGGGGCCCAACGCGAGCCGTCACCTGATGCGCCACAAGCAATCCATAAATATATTTCTATATAAGCGATTACTATAATTGGCTCACTTATTTAGAGTGCTTTAGGTTACTTTATTGGTAATTCTTAGTTGCTGTATACTGCGAGATGGAAAATGAGCTACTCTGTTAGATTTTTTCTTCTGATATGTGCGCTGGAGATACCTGAATACTTTTGTTTTGTATTTGTGATTGATATATATATGATTGATGTACAGTTGTTGACGATTTCTATTGTTATATCAAATCATATATTTATATTGATACAGTTATTAAGCAATGTGTAAGGTACTCATTTATTTCGACATGCATAATTTCAACTAGCATCAATTGTTCCAGCTGCCTTTGGCCTTAATTTAACGCTAGATTTGATTCTGTCCAAGCAAGGTGTTTTCATTGTGAGGAAAATAAAGGCTTAGGCATAGGTTGTATTAAGGTGAGTAAAATGTTCGCATTTAATGCTTAGGGTTGACTGATCGCACCTAGTCGAAACTTTCCAGAATGAGTGCATCTATCGGGCGCATGCCTTGTTGTCATTACTGAGCTGTGTGCAGTCATGAGGATCGAAAATATGCATATACACGCCTTTTGTACTGTTTTAATGGTGGGAGCAATGTGGCAGAGACAAAAAGTTGAGCTTTGTCCAATTCTTTGTATTTGCAACGTCGAAAGCAAACGTAAAGTAGACGTTAGCGCTTATCGGTGTTGGTGAATCGGATTTGAAGTTTAACGACAAGCCACATTTTGCATGGCCAGAAGAAATGAACGACGATAAACAGTCACCCCTTAAGCAAGTGTCGCGGCCGACCTGAAAAGTTTCTGCACACCTCGGAGTGACGCATATGACTGTTATTCTTTACATGTACTTGGACAGATCGAATTTGAAAGAAAATGAACCTCAACGAACTCAGTAACATTGAAAAAAAAATGCCTGACAATAGCGTTTTCGTTGTCTATAGAACAAAGCCATTCCTATGGAAAGTTGTTTTCAGCGTTTAAAGATTGATTTTCTACATCTCTAAACGCAAACCAGAATAAATAGACCCCTCAGTTTGAGGCCTCAAAGAAATATTCATGGTTAAAGGATGCTCTTTTGCGGTGGGATGAGAACGAAATTTTACACTATGTGCTACGCAAATTTTAGGCAAAAACTATAGGAGATTACATATCGTTGTGCAAATCAACGTTTCAGTGATAGTAAAAGATTTGACAAAGTGTGACGCAAAGTGATATCGCTGTATAACAGCAGTACACCGCGTCCTGCTTTCATGAGACACACGGAGCGCCAATAAATCTACAATGGAAAACTCTGCTCCACTTGATGTACAGCCCAATTATCGCTCCACCTGATTATCGCTTTTTCGGTCAATGAAACATAGGTAGAAAGGCAAATACTTGAGATCGAAAATCGTAATTTGCAAAAGGATCGCTTTCGAGGGCAAAGTTACTTGGTGGAATGCACCGGCTACCAGAGAGGCGAAACCCAAGGACGCTACTTTAACTGTTAGAATTTATTCACTCGTTCGAAACTTGGAGTAGCTAAAAAAACAACGGAAATTTGTTATTCAATTTAATATTGAATAAAACGACATTGCAGAGCGGAGAGTTTATTTTTTTCGTTTTGATCTATAGAGTGGGGTTCATGATACGATTGAAGTCTCTAACTATATTATCGAAATTTTTTAACGAGAAAGTCACTGGAAATATGCCACTGTATATTTCCGTATTGTGTATCAACTTACGGACGAATAAGCGACTTCAGTAATTTCTTGGGTCGTATGTGTCTCGATCGACAAGCCGCCGGGAAGTGATGCCTGACGGCAGTAAAGAGGTAAAACTCGAATCATTGAGGTTTTAATTTCATGATTTGATTTGTTTGTGGCTGGGGAAACAAGCGGATAGTGGACAAATGTAGGGCTTTGAGCTGAGACATACTATACCTTCCATGTACTGCCTGGTAGTAATACACTGACAAACTTATTTTTCATTATATTATATAAATTCAGCTTATAGGACGGTGGGACAAAACATCTCAGGTGATCTTCTTCATGTGATGCAAGGGTGCGATGAGAAAAAATATTTATCTGATCTCTACATAATTGCCGCATTATTTGATCAATTTTTTTCGGCTTCAAACGAGAATCATCTAGACAGATTTAGTATTTTACACAATGGTACCAGGAGAAGCCGTTCAGAGCCCACTGGATATTGAAAGCTAATTTTTGCTCACATATTAACTAATTATTCAGATTAATTAATTCCTTCGCCGCGCGAACAGTTGCCTTAACATGAAACGCCTATCACATAACACTATTGAACCGACTGCTTGTTCGGCGTGTTACAGTTTTCAAATCATTTGTAACTTAGAGAATCCAAGTTACACAAACTTCTGAAAGAGCTCGTTCAATCTAATAACAGCGTATATATCTCCATATATACCAGGATTGAAGCAGGAACCAACAAAATGTAGGACGGATCTTGAGTTCAATGCGCCTTTGTTTGATCACTTGAATTATCTGCATCGTTACGCTACGCTACACTACACAACACTGCAGGCATACAGCTTTCGTGTGGTATGGGATGCGGTTATGACTGAATGAACCTATTAATGATACGACGCCGCCCCCGTTTGTGGTATTTAGCTCGTTTGCTTTTGGACATCTTCGATATCGCGTATCTTCTCGACTATCTATATACGAAGGTCCGCTTTGTAATATGGTTGACGCAAGAGGTTGAGCCGCTGCGTAAAGGCGGAAACGAAGTGGTCGACGCGGGGTTGGCAACCGCAATAACTCTGTATACAATCTTCGCACCAGCTTCAAGTTTGGCAGCATCGCAAAGGATAATCATGGCCAGTTCATCAT